AGGGGGATTGTATATCAAAGAAAGATTTTTTTCTTTTACTTTTCAAAGAGAGGAGCAAACTGGGGCGAAGGGGGCAGGGAGAGGGTTGGGCAGGGAGAAAAGTGCAACAATGAATGAATGGAAATCCAAAATCTCTGTAAATGTTCATTTAAATTATTAAAATAAAATCTAAAAAAAAAGAGTAAATAATATTTCTGGTACAATATTTTTATTGTGTCAAACTATAGATTTTTGCTGTCTTTCTTACTGTTCAAAGCAAGGACTAGTTAATATGATAATACACATACCCTAAAGTAGTACCTAGACAGAGATAGGGCAGAGGTTGGGAATGTCTAGAGAGATTTCCTAGAGCATGTGGACTTGGACAAGCCAGTGAACACGAGACACAAAATAACCACATTTCTGAAGCAAAGTTCGCTCTTCAGTCTCATTTTCCTTGTCCATATGTCCTCTATTTATTAACAGGAGGCATTCCAGTGTATTTGAGTCCTACCACACGTAGTCAGAATATGGAACTTGACATTCCTGGTTGACGAGCCTCTTGCTTCTTATACTCTAGACCTGGGAGAGCCACTATTTGTAGCCTGCTAACAAACTACTTTTCCAATCAAAATAATGAGGTGGCTTTATATTTTTGTAGTCTGGAGCAGGCCTCCAAATACACTCTTCAACTGAAAAAAAACCTCCCGAACACCCCAACAAACCCAAAACAACACGCTGCGGCAGTGTGCATATAATATGCTACCATTAAGGGAAGAAGAAGGAAAAATATGTATTTGTAAATAAATGCACGTTTGAGTATTCTTAGAGTATTTTTTCCAAGAACATGCAAGACTATAACTTGTATTGTGTTTGATGAGAACTAGAGGCCATGAAACAGGGAAGAGGCATGGTTAACATTTTATGGTAATACTCCTTGTAATTTGAGGGGTTTTTTACTATGCTTGTTATTACTTTGCAAAAGTTACAACCTGTTTACAGAAATTATTCTCTCAAAAATAACTATTTATGCAGCCCCTTAAAAAAAAAAGGGTATCTCTATTTGCAACTTTTTGAGAAGACGCCACCTTCCACAGTGGTTGCACCAACCACAGATCTTTCGATTGCTAGCTGTCTTAGCTATCCAGTGCTGCTATAACATATATACCACAAGTGGACAGTTTTAATAGGCAGAGATTTATTTTCTCACAGTTTAGGATTCTAGAAGTCTGAATTCAGCGTGTTGACCACAGGAGGTTTTCTGTCTGTCTTGGTTCTAAGAGGTTCCCAGCCCAGGAACACTGAGTGCAAAGCATGGGCTCCACTTCCAGCTGTACTTTACAGCAGGCACTAGGTCCCTCCCTCTGCATGCTTCTCACCTCGCTCTCCTGTAAGAGAAAAGGTGATGTGGGCCACACCCCAGGAAAATTCCCTTTATGTCCTCTTAAGATGAGGGTTGTGACCTAATTAAGGGCAAGGAAACCCTGCTCTAATTCCTTTATATCAGAACCTAGCCATTCATATCAGATTGATTACATCATGAGAATGATTATATCACTGCATAACTGACCATTTGTTGTTTTGTACCTCAGAGTCAGAATCAACCCATAGCTGCTGACCCTCTAATGGATTTTCAGAGGCAGTTAATCACATGGGAGGAGATTGCCTATCCTGCTACCAGAGAGCAGCTGTTGAGCTTCAAACTGTTTGCCTTCAGGAACTGCAAAACCACTGCGACATTACCCAGTCAATGGATATATATTATGATAGATACAACTCAATCCAGGACAACAGACAATTGCTTTGGTTACGTATCACTAGCTATATGTGTGCCGTATATTTTTTTTTTAAAACTTCATTACTCTCAAGTCAGCTCCAACTCATAGCTGACACTTCAGTGTTTTTGAGAAGCTGTAAATCACATGGAAGGGGATTACTTATCTTTCTCCTGCCAAGCTACTGGTGGATTTGAACCACAGCACAACTCTATAAAGGATCATACCACCAGAACTTCCTTTGTAATACATTCAAGCTCAAACTCATTGCTGTTGAATCCTAGGTGACCCTCCAGCAGATTTTCAGAGGCTGCAAACTGCAGCCCATTTTTCTTTCTCTGACCTTTTCCCACTAGGCCACCAGAGTTCCCTCTGTGGAGAAAAGGAATAGCCTGGGGCTGAAGATGAACCAGCACACAAGAAGTTATGAAACTTGTGATCCTATGAACTTTGATAATCTCTGACATTCTCAAATTTACAATCTAGTTGAAGACATACAATATATCCACAAGAAACTAGTTAAGAAGTATATATGTGTGCTTGCTTCGGCAACAATACAGAGAAGATTAGCATGGCCCCTGCACACGGATGAAGTGCAAATTTGTGAAGCATTCTATATTTTTTTGTGTAAAATGGTGCAACCACTACGGAAGGCTGTATGGCGCTTTCTAAAAAAGTTGCAAATAGAAATACCATTTGACCCAGCAATTCCACCACTGGGAATATACCCCAAAGAAACCATAACTGCCACCCAAGCAGATATATGCACACCCATGTTTATTGCAGCTTTGTTCACAATAGCAAAGAGTTGGAAACAACCCAAGTGCCCATCAACAAACGAATGGATAGAGAAGCTGTGGGATATTCACACAATGGAATAATACGCTGCATTGGAAAACAAGGCACTCATGCAATATTATTCAAAATGGTTGACTCTGGAGAACATTATGCTGAGTGAAATATCCCAGTTACAAAAGGATAAATATTGCATGGTGCCACTGTTGTAAAAGAGGCCTGACCTTGGGATTGGGGGAAGACTGAGAAAGATGGGTTAAATAATGTATACTGCAATGAAACAGGTGAGGGAGAAAACTGTTTAAAAGGGCTATATGAGTAGGTATTTTTGTCATGAGGGGAGTCCAGAGCGAAGGTTGCACAGTGGAGTGGACTTGGAGGGAGGGATTGCAAAACAATGAAAGAATTTTTCCTTTACTTTTCAAAAAGAAGAGCAAATTGGGGAGAAGAGGTGGGCAGGGAGAAAAGTGGAACAATGAATTAATGGAAACCTAAAGTCTCTGTAAACTTTCATTAATATTAATTAAAAAAAAGAAATAAAAAGGAGTGTATATGCAACTTTACAATGAGTACATGTAATTAATTACAGAGGGAAGTAGCTTGAAAAAAGAGAGAAAGGAAGAAAATAGTGAGCAGGTTCTGGTGACAGTAACTAGGAAGCACAAACTCACTAGTCAATAGAAGAAAGATGAATTCCCAAACCATGTAAGAAAAGAGTAAGAAGTTCTCACTTAGTAATTAGAATTGTATGTGAAAGAAATACTTGGTTCTTTTCCCCTTTACTGTTTAACTGATTCCTAGGGATCCCAGTGTGTTATTTCTTATAGTCACTGGATGGTCATTTCATATTTACACCTATTTTATAAGACTGCTTGAAACCTTGCCAGTTCCTAGATTATGTGATTTATACAATTCCTTTTATGTCTATCATGGGTGGTATTGGGAGATTATTAAAAGGATTATCAGAAATTAGACATAATTGCCTGCTCTGGCACTCTGGGAAACCACATGTTAAGTATCACCAAGGTAACAGTTATAAACAAGCTCTGACAAATGATTGCACAACCTGCCATAGCTGGGTGAGGTTTCCAGAGGAAGATGGCAACCAGCAGATCACTTGTTGTGTACAGATTATTGATCATTGTGTATTACAAAATGAAACCAGAAACCAAAACCCTGGAGGAAGTACTTTTTGACATGGCAAGTGGTGTGACTAGAACTGATGGGACAAATGAGTAATAACCTTCATGAAATTCTCTCTAGGGAGGAATGTCTTGCCTTTGAATCATTATTTGAACTCTTTAAAGAGACTTTCACATGTGTTTTCTACATGCATTTGTCAGATTCAGGTTGCTAGATGTATTATTTTTTATTATGCCATGTCACTACTCAAAACTTGTAAACAGCTTATCAGTTTATGCTGATATAAGTCTTAATTCCTATCTAAACTCCAAGGTACACCTCAGTCTTTAAATGGACATTCTTCTTGTTTTTGTTGTGTTTTTTTTTAAGTGTGTGTGTGTGTGTGTACCGTCAAATCGGAAAATCGGATCTGACTGGTACAGGAGGAGATTGTTCCTCCTTTTCCAGCAGAGCCTCTGGAGGATTTGAACTGCACACTTCTGGTGTGCAGCTTCTTGCCACTAGACCACCAGAACTCCCTTAAGTTGACCTTCTTATTTATTAGCACTTTACGAAGGACCTTGACAGCAGTTTTGCCCAGTACACTATTGATTTCTTGACTGCTTCTACCATAGATTTGATTGTATACAGAAAGGATATGCTTATACTTATTCACTTTTTAATCGGAAATTAATATTTTACCAGAAGTCATGCATTTAATCTGCAAATCCTATTCAGGAGCATTACATTGACGTCTTAATTCTATTACATAGACAATACCATCTCCAACTGCTCGGTATTTGTTTAATGAACCTTGTTTATCTCCACAGACTAACCCTGGCAAATACTTAAGAGTGAATATTTATTGAGTGAATAAATGAATGTACGAAGAGCAATCTCCAATTATGGATCAGATTGAGTGTGCCTATTACTACTAAATTTGGGTATTTTTCTTATTCTCAAAAACAAAAGCAAAGGCCAACAATCGAGTATTTATAAAGCTTCCACTGGTACAGTTTTTCATTTTTCAGCTGGTAGGGTTCAGTACTGGATGGGAACATAGTCAAGGGCTCAGAATGTACCCGCTGCAGGAGGGGTCCATATGGTCACTGCAGGGGAGAGAACCCCTCCCCGGCTCACGACGCCCAGGAGCCCGCAGCAGGCAGCAGTAGGCGGCAACTCCCTCCCCCGGCCAGGCTGCGCGGAGTCCGCGCATGCGCACAACTGTGCCCCGGCCCTGGCGGCCGCGCTGGAGAGGGCGGAGCTCCCGGGCGCGTGCGCGGAGGCCCGAACGCCCCGCCCTCAGCGGGGGCGCGCGGCGCGGAGGACCGCACGGAGAGGGGGAAGTCAGGTGGCTGCTCCTGCCGCCGCCGCCGCCGCGATTTGTCGCCAGAGGAAAGATGGCGGATCTGGAGGAGCAGTTGTCTGATGAGGAGAAGGTAAGAGCCGCGGGGCCGGCGGAGCCCGGGCGTGTCAGTCCGGAGTCTGGGCGCCCGGGGAGGGGCCGTGGCCATCGCCTGCGCCCTCGGCTGCCCTTCCTTCCCCCTTTTCTTCGCTGCGCTCTCGTGCCTGCGCCTGTCAGTCACCGAGGCCCGCGCGGGGGGCTGGACTCAGCCGGGCCTGTTCGCTCCGCTCCTTGTAGGGTGTGTGCTCCGAAAATAGGAAGCGGGAGCGGGCGGCGGGGTGCGGCGGGCGGGGGCGGGCAGTGCCGCGGGGACCCTCGTCCTCGCCGGGGACCCTTCTCCACGCCAGGAACCCTTCTCCACGCCGGGGACCCTCCTCCTCTCCGGGGACCCTCGCCCACCGCAGGGCCCTGAGGCCGAGGCCAGCACCGCGGGGCCCTGCCCGGGTCTGGAGGCTGCAGTGGGGTCCAGGCCTGGGAGTGGCCCAAGGGCAGTGCCCAGCCGGCGGCCTGGCCTGAGAGTGGAGCCTTACCGAGGAGGAAGGGGGAACGCGCCGAGGAAGCAGATCCTCCCCTTCTCCTCCCTCCTCCCAGAAGCACATCGCTTCCTTTCCTGGTTCCTCGGGGCTTTTCTTCCTTCCCGGGTGGACGTCTGTCTGTCTTCTGTCTGTCTTGATTTTTTTTTTTTTTCGTTCTCTTTCTTTTTTTTGGCTTTAGCTTTAGCAGTAAAGGGCTTTGCATCACCCCTGTTTCGGGGAGGCAGCGGCGTTGCTCACATAAAGCCTTCCACCCCCCGCCCATAATCGGTTCCCAGGTTGGCAGACACCCCCCCCCAGAACCCCCAGGATGCCGATTTGGTGGCGCCCCATCATCCTACTAGGACTTCTCCCAAAGGGGGAGGTGGTTGTGAAACTCCTCCTGTATCTTAGATGCTTGTGACAACAATGGAAGCAGACGAAGGACCAGATTCTTAGACATTTAAAATGAGAAATCTGACCACTGATCAAGTCTTCTTATTCGCCGATGCCTTAGGATCCCTGGGGCCTGGGGCCGCTGCTGGGCCCACTCATTTTTAGTATTGCCTCAGAAGGACTTTGACGTTTCTCACACCCAGAAGTAACTGACATGTGAACGTCAGTGATCATATATTGTTCGGAAAACCCACTTTTAGTATGACACTGTTTCTTTCTTTTTTTTTTTTAGTTCCAAAGCAGTAACAGATTTTTAAAAACCACACACAATTCCATTCTGTTGTTTAAGAAATCCTGATGTCAACTGAAGGATATTTTCAGTTGGAACTTTCTGCCCAGAGTATTTTTATATCCCGTGTTTCTGCGTTGAAATGCAATACTCCTCCGTCTCCTTGCCCATTTGAATGTGCAGAAGCTTGCTTCATCTTGATTTTTTTTTGGAAGTCCATCTTTCTTCAAGATTGCTCATGCTTTGGAGTCACTTCTGCTGAAAAGAGACCCTATAGGGCAGAGTAGGAAGCTCTGGTGGCTAGTGGTAAGGAGTTGCACTGCCAACCCAGAGGTACTCAGTTCAAATCCACCAGCTGCTCCACGGCAGAAAGATGGATAGTTTCCTCCCATGCCATTTACTGCCTCTGAAAACCTCCTGGAGGGTCAGCTGTGAGTCGGTTCTGGTACATAACAACAACAGAGGACAGAGTAGAACTCCCCTAGAAAGTTTCCAGGGCTGTAAATCTTTCTGGAAGCTGCCTCATCTTGTCACCTTGGAGTTGCTGGTAGTTTTGCATTGGCTCAGTTTTGGTGAGCAGCTCGGTACTAACCACTGCACCACCAAGGACCCTTTATTTGCTCTCAGTGATAATAAAACAACAGTGTGGGAGGAGCAGCGAGATTGCTTATACTCACTCCATAGATCACGTAGACAAATCTGTATCTACACATACATTTTTGATAAACAATGATGAATTAGTGAGCTCTCGTGGCCTAGTGGCATGAAGCTGCCCTGCAATCTCGAAGGCACGAGGTTAGAATCCTCCAGCTGCTCCACCGGAGAAGGATAGGCGATCTCCTCCCCTGAGATTAACTGCCTCCAAAAACCCACCAGCAAGTCAAGTGTGAGTGGGTTCCAACTCGATGGTACACAACAATAATGATGAATTATTCATGAAATAATGATAAATATACACACACATTTTGAAAGTTTTTTAAGAGTTGGTCTTATTTTTATTCTCTTCTTCACTGGCCATTAGTGGCTCCCAGCATCTAGAAATCCAGCCTAGGAGAGAGTAGCAGTGTGGCAGTGTGGGAGTTAATATAGATCTGCTGTGTATTGTAAAGGCCAAAAATAGAGTGTTGGGGTTTTTTTCCCAAATGAGATACGAGTCTTAATTATTCTATAGTTTAAGTCCCTAAATATCCTACAGAATGGAATATTGTTTCTGTTCTTGCTTGCTTAGTGGTGTTTTATGAGTAAATGAATGAAAATTTTAAAGAAATTTGGTATTTCAGTTTTGGAGCTTTTTGTTACTGGGTTTTGCGTTTAGGTTTTTTTTTTAAAAAAAGAATATTCTTTTGGTACTTTATAGATTTCTTAATTGAAAAATACTGATAACACTTTTGGATTAAATTTAAATGACTTATTAAGGGAAAATGTTAACATTTTTGTTTGTTTGTTTTCTTAGTTACCTGAGTGTTCTTTTAAATCTTTTGGGAGGAGGATTTTGGGTACAGATCAGAAATAGAAAATTTAAAGGTGATATTTTTAAATTAAGAGCTAAATCATGTTACTCTTTTAGCCATCTTGTGTTCAGTTTTCAAAAATAAGCTTTTTCACTTTCGGGATTGTCATGATTACAGAGCCAAGGGAGGGAAGCTGTTAAGATTGGTGCAGAAATTGTACTGTATGCTTAGTTCCATTAGGTGATGCATACTTTACTTAATTTGTGGTAGGCCATATTCTTACCATTTCACAGATGAGTAAAATGAGGTTTCATAAACCCTAGCACACCCAGAGACACATAGGTAGGAAGTGGCAGAGGTGTTATTTATACCTGAGTTTGTGTTTATGCTTTTGGGACATTACTTGGCCTCAGACATTTGATGATAGAACCCTCATTTAGATTTGTTTCATTTTTAAGTGTGCTGACAGCTTACTTGAAAAAAGAAGAAATAGTGATTCTTTTTCTTTTTTTGTAAAAATGGCAAGTGGCAAATTTTTTTAGCACTTTAGGAAGTTTTTTTGCTACTGGAAATTTTGAAGACAGAAAAATTATCTCTACCTAGGGGATTGTTTGACATGAGCAGGGACATAAGCTCACGTCAGACTATCTAAGGTAAGAAGAAAAACAGGAAAGTGGTAATGTGTAAAATGCGCTCATTTAAACAGTTGAGTGCTACCTCTGAGGTACTTTGCAAGTAAGAGATGCAAAGATAGATTGTTAGGTTGGCTGCTCACTATCTAGACCATGGTTTTCAGCTCTGTTGACATTTATTTTATTATTTGTGTGTACTGTCAAATCAGATTTGACTGGTACAGGAGGGGATTGTCCCTCCTTCCCCGGAAGAGCATCTGGTGGATTCGAACCACGTACTTCTGGGATTGCAGTGCAGCTTCTTGCCACTAGGCCACCAGAGCTCCCCTCTGTTGACATTTAAACCAGCTAATTTCTTTATTGACTAGGTTTCCTTTTGCTTTGTAGTCTGGTAGCATCCTTGACCCACAAGCTCCCAGTAGCACTTCCCTAACCTCCCAAATCACATTACATGTCTCGAGGGGCCAGAATTCCCCTGCTTGAGAACCATGTGTCTAAACATACTGAGCTAGCAAGAGCGTTTGGAACCAGAGTTAGTGTTAGAATTCAACTTGAAAAAAAAGGAACAAAAAGAATGCTAACACAGTTCACATTTGGAATCAAGAGGAATTAGTTATTAAATGTAGGCGAAAAGGAAGCTCAGACTGGAGTGTGCTGGGAGGAAGTCCCATCCTAACAGAACACTGGAAATAGGACTCACCGCTCGCAGGAATAACAGAGAGCATTTTTCTGAGTATTGCTCTTCTGAGCTTATGGATGGCTGCTAACTGAAAAGTTGACACTTGGTACTCACCAGGGGCTCTGTGGGAGAAAGACTTGGCAGGATGCTTCCGTGACGATTACAGCCAAGAAAACCCAGTGGGACAGTTCTGCTCTGTCATGCTGGAGCTACTGAGTTGAAAACAAATCAGCAACACCTAACAACAGTGCCGAGTTTGCTAGCAAAATGTGTATGTGAAAATGCTATGCAGATATGACAGTGTGGAAATGGAGCTTGGAAAAGAGGCTAGGTCCAGAGATTATGTGTAAATTTAGACTCCTCCCTTTATGGGTAATTGTTAAAGCCATGGGATAAGCTTTTCAGGAGACAAAGTTCCGTTGTAAACGGCAAGGTAGAGAGACCACTTTTGGAACTACTTTCATTTAAGAAATAAAAGGAAGAGAAAAGACAACGGTTGACGTCGAAATGAAGTCATAGACCTAGCACAGAGTAAAAGCTCATGTCAAGGAAGTTGAAGAGAATTTCAGAAAGGAGCAGTGCCTAGGATTGCAGAAAGATAAGAAGGACTTTAGGGGTGAGCAAACTCCTTGGTTCTGTAAGAAAGGGATTAGAAAATGAATTGTACCCACTCTGTGCCAGGCTGGAAGCTCTTATGGCCTAGTCCATAGGGAGTTGTGCTGCTAACCCAAAGACTATGTCTTTCTGACAGTTTGAATCTTAACATCTCTGAGGGTGAAAGATGAGTATTCTCTTCCTATGGTATTTACAGCCTCAGATCCAGTGGAGGGTCAGCTATGAGTCAGTTTTGACTCAACAGTGTGTCAGGCAAGTTTTATATATTTCCTGTTCTTTTCCGAATAGTCATATAATTGTTACCACCATTACAGATAGTAAAATCTGAGTGGAGGAAGAGTTGTCTTTAGTGGTGGTTTACTAAGCTTTGGAGCAAGAATGGCTAGAAAAGCCTTATTTGAGTCTAAAGAGTTGTAGGTTTGATTTCTCTCATCTGGGAATGATCTTTGATTTTGTCTAC